TTTACTTTCTGCCCAGTCTTTTGGACACTGAAGCCAACTTCCTTCATCTTCATTTCCCGTTGGAGGTCATCGCACTTCCTGGCTGCTCTCTTGTGCTTAAGACTCAGACATCAGGGAATATTTAAGTACAACACACACACCCCCCCCATTTTTGCTGAATGCTCTTGAGCTCGTGAAGCAGTTTTCCTTCAGACCTTTATTAAATCCACGTTTTGGGCTGATGTAAGTTGCTGTGTCCCTGTGCTAGTCATGCTGGTGTTACTCTCTCTCCATACCCTTTGCTGGGTAGTCCCTGCTGTTCACAGGGGCAAGGAGTTGCTGATCTCTGCAGCATGTTACTCTTGATAGCATGAGAGTGGTTTAACCTGCATCTTTGTTTCTGCAGAAGAAACAGCATTTGGTACCTGTGTGTGTGTGTGTTTCCTGAACTTTGTCTCTTTTGTTCTGGTGAGGGCCAAGTTGACCCAGATGTGTCGGGTTTGTCTCTGAAGGTACTGGCTTCACAGAAAGATCAGGCCTTGATGGATGCCTGCGTTTCACTGGGGATGCTCCTGGCAGTTGGCAAGGCCAGAAGAAGCCTTGTCTGTTCTTCCTTTGTCTCAAACACCCTGCAAAGCAGGAGGACAGTGTGCACTGCGTGGGTCTCTGCTCTCCCCGAGCACGACTCGTTTCTTATTCCAGATCACAGAGTGCTCCTGAAGGCAGCTCTAAAAGCTGCTTGTGCATACCTAGCTGGGTTCATGAACCCTCTTAGGTAGTTTCCTACCAGGTGGGACAAAAGAGTCTTCTTCTAAACTGCCTCTGCCAGGCCTTGGGACAGGACAAGATAGTATCTAAGAGGCTTTACCTCCTTGGCCACCCCTGGGCAGGTGATGGGAAGCTCACCGTGCTTTTGGCTAACCAGTATCCCACACAGGCTCTTGCTGTGGGAGGCAGGACATCCTTCTGAAGCTGTTGTGTGCAGGCACTGTGTGTGCAGAGCAGGCATGGAAAATGGGATGAAGGTGCATTAATAGAGGCCACAGGGGTCCTGAGGGTTTCCTGTCTTTATTTCTGCTCTTAGTCAGTGGAGTAAAGCTCTCAGTTTGGACTGCAGTTTCCTTGCCAGATGGCCTGGAGAAGAGGCGTGAGAGGAACTCACAGCCTAAACCACTGCTCTTACAGCTCAGCTCACAAAGAACTCGTGGACTTCTGCTATTTGTATAGCAAAAGAGATCAAATTAGCAGGGGTGGAAGATTAAATCTACTCCAAACCCTCGCACTGCTTAGCAGGCATCCAGGAACACCTAACTATGCAGGACTCAGAGGCCTGTGGGACCTGTGTCTCTGTTAGCACACTAGGCCTGCTTGGTTCAGCCAGGTGACCAAGCCCCAGGCTGCTTTTTCTGGACACATCCAGTGCCAGAGCAGAAGGAAAACAGGGCTGGTCTCCCCAGTCTGAGAGCAGCCTCCTGGCAGCTTTGTTTGCAAGACGGTGGGATCTGGATGGGATGGGGAAGCTGTTGGCTCCTGACAGATGCCCTCCTCCCCCACTACAGAGACTCCAGCCAGCTCAGAGTCCACGTGGGCCAGTGGTGCAGCTTCTCCCACCACCCCTTCATGGTAAGAAGGGCAAAAACTGCCTTGTGCAGAAATGCCATTGCTGCTAGATGGGGAGGCTTGGTACAAAACACCCCGCAGCAGGCAGGGTGGAGGGAAGGACTGAAGGGAGTTAGCAGAAGGAAGGTCACCAGTTTTCAGGTTATGGTGAGAAGATGGGGAAGGACTGGTGACAGGGGGAGCACGGAGGGAATTGGTTTCTGAATCAGAGGATGAACACAATGGGGTTTGGATGAGGGAAGAGCACAGAAGGGGAAGTAGACCAGTGTGGGTTGTGGTGTGTGGTGGTGGTCCCTGCCTGGTTGGTGCCCTGCTTCTATAGAAATGATGATTTCATCATTGCTAGGGGTTTCCATTGAGCTAGATCAGTGTGCCTGACAGATGGTCTGAACAGATCAGCTCCCTCCTTAGCCCCCCAACCTTTCCAGATCTCTGCCAGGCTTTTGTCATGATGTCCCTGTGGTGGGGCTGGGTCTCCTCTGAAGTGGAGGTGAGGCGTGGCCCTGCACACAGCCCTGTGCCCCACTGTGACTGGACTTTCCCCAAGCCCCAGGAACATGCCCCAGCTGAGAGGAGAGCCCACGGGCCCATCCTCTCCTCCATTTTCCCTTTGCTTATCTCATTATCCTTCACTTTCTTTTCTCTCCCTCACGTAGCCTTCTGTCTTGACCCTGGTCCAAGCTCTACAAAGCTCTCACTGCATTAAACATCCACACTCCTGTTGGCTGGGAGGGCAGAGAGGACAACTCTGCCCCTGGAGCTCCCTTGGCTGGGAGAGAAGTGCATGTCTTCCACCCCTCTCTGTCCCCTTGTGTTTTGTGTCTGGAAAATCTTAACCCACTTCTTTTCCTCTGGGATCCCTCGTTGGCTCTTGTTCCTGGGGAGGGCGGGGTGGGTCATTTCTGTGTCTCCATTGCAAAGTCATCCTTGTAAAAACGCAACAGCCTGAGTGGGAGCGTGGAGGTGGCTAGAGAGAGCCACAGAGCTGCTGGGGCCTGACTTTGCTTCTCCAGGAGTCAAGGGAGCCCTTTGGCAACCCAGAACTGTCACTGGTGGCCACACGGTCCCACGGATGGTGCTGGACTCTGGAGAACACTTTTGTTCTTTTATCATTTCATTGTCTGTATTTGGTTTCCTACTGGATTTGTTTGCTTGGTTTGTTTTGCAGTGTGTTTCTGGGAATATTCTGCATCTCTGTATTTTAATTACAGTAAAATTTGAGGATAAAAAAACCTTGGTTACCCTGGCTCTTGTTTCCAGTGGGGAGAAATGAGGAGAGGAAGCACAGCTGAAGGAAGATGTTAGAGATTCCTTGGGAAATCAGATTTTTCCCCTAAGGGCTCTACATGAGGCTCCAAGTCGGGCTGAACCTCTGTCCCTGCTGAAACTAGGACATTCAACCACGATTCAAAAGCCATTTTGCTGCAGGCACATTTCCTGATTGGAATGGCAAGAACAGTTTGGATAAGACTTCTAAACTCAATTTCTTGTGTTGGTTTAAAGACCAGGGCACAAAAAAGGGGACTTCTGAGCCTGGTACAGCTGGCCTAGCCCTGAAAGTGGGATCTCAGCAGCTGAAGACAGGAAATTTTGCCTCTACAGCTGCTGTTCCTTCGTGCAGGTTTGGGCAGCCACCTTTCCCAGCTGAGGGAGGGAGGAAAAGCCTCATTTGCCCTGCAGCACAGCAGCCTGCCCTTTCTGCAGGAGAAGGGGGTTTGACAGCCCTCCACAGAGCAGCCACCTCACCCAGCCCTGGGGCACTTGCCCGGGGCAGAGCTGCCCAGTGCTTCTGGGAAGCTGGAGCAGGTTGGTGGAGGAGAGGTGAAGGCACCTGGGGTGGGGGTCTGTGCCAGGAGCTGTGCCCATACCTGCTGTGGGAGTGCAGGGGGGCCCATCCCACAGCACACACCATCACCCCGTTCCTCCTGGCAGGGCTGGAGCTGGCCGTGCCACCTTGCAGATGTCCAGAGGAACTCCTTTAACTGGAATTATCCAATTCTCCAGTTGGAATTCTCCAGTGCTGGGAGGGTGCAGCTGCAGGTGGGTGCGACCAGCCGCAGTCCCATCTCCCTGCAGGTCCCTGTCCTGCAGGTTCTGAGCTGGGGTGCTGCTGTCCCTGGGGGGCTGGCCCTGGTGGCTTCCTACCTGCAGCTGCTCAAGGCCTGTGGGATGTCCCTCGACAGCTGGGCTGGTTGGAGGACCGAGCCAGGGCTGCTGGTCAGCTGCAAGAGGAGGCAGGGATGGAACAGACCAGCCACGTTTTGTGTCAGGCTCCCAGTGCTCTGCTGGGGTGAGGTGTTGCTCCTGCCCTGCGTGCCCAGGGTGGTGGCAGGGGCACGGGAGAGGACCCTGCATCCACAGGCAGCCCGTGAAGAGAAACCCCCCTGCTGCCAGGCCCATCTTTGTGCTGCTTGTTCTCATTCCAGCAGTTTTATGACCTGAACTCCAGCACTTTTCTCTGCCCGGGGCAGGGAACGCCAAGGCGGGCACCAACGTGGTCTCAGCTCTCAGGTCTGTAAATAACCACAGGTTCTCACTTTGGGCTTAACTGTTTGCATTTTGGCATGCTTCAGGTGCAAACACACACATGCCCTGAGGGGCTGTCCTGTCTGCTCCCCCCAGCTTTGCCCCCACCCACCGAGCAGCCCAGGAGATGCTGCTCTCTGCTTGTTGGTGCACACCCCCCAGTTTACTCACCGAGGTCTTTTCAGTTGGAAGTTCACCCCCAGATCAATTTTATTGCACTTTTATTTACAGAAAACAGAAATAAAGCATTAAATGTATTGGGCTTTTCCCAAACTACCCAATCACTTCTTTTTTTAATTTTTTTTTTCTTTTGTGGGTTTTTGGCACAAGGAAATCTTACAGGTGTTACCAAAGAACCACACAGGAGCAGCTGACCAACTGCCCAGCCCAGCAGCAGGACTTAGAAAACCAAGAAGGTCGTTCCACGTTCAGCTTCCAGCCTGACCTGCTCCTCGGGGGCAAGGGGAGTTATTCTGGAGGGGGGGATGACACCGTTCATAAATTATATTTATATTTACCTCTTACATTGTAAAAGTAAACAGTGCAAAAGTACAGTACCCCAGGTACCCTTCGGTTTGGAAAGCTTGAAGGTCGCTTTATACATTTTGTGTGGTTTTTTTTGTAAACATTGCTACCCATCCGCAGTTCTAGCTCTTGCTCGGAGAGGCCCGACTCCTCCCGTGTCTGAAACATCTTGAGGAGCAGCCATCACCTCCTCTGGACTCAGCCGTCGAGATTCCCACTCGAGGTTTAGTGCAAATTTTGGAGAGAAAAAGATGAGACAGAGAGAGAGAGAGAAAGGGGACGGGGTTGGGGCGGGGCCAAAATAAAATAAGGCAACAGTTAGAGACAGTCCGTGTCAAAACCGGGCCGCCTTAGGAGAAGGGCAGGAAGTCTCTCTCCTCCACCAGGCTGATGGAGAGGTTCTTGAGCTCCTCCTCGGAGCCGGCAGTCTTGTAGCCGAGCTGGGCCAGCACCTGCTGGCAGGCGTGCTGGGTGAAGGAGACGATCTCGTAGGAGAGGCGGAACCGCCACTTCTCGGCCGTGGCCGCCGAGTTGCGCACGGTCCCGTACTTGTGTTTGGAGGAGGACCTGTCCCCCCGCGTGTTGTTCTGGATCCAGCGCTCCACGTTCCCGTCCATGGGGATGCCCAGGAAATCGTAGATCTCCTCCGTCTTCTTCACGGGGTTCCTGGCCAGGTCTTCGTAACGCACCAGCATGTACTTGCCCTTGAGCCAGGGAGGCCGGTTGAGGCCGGTGGAGACCGAGTTCCAGAAGTCCTCGCAGACGGTGGTGAGCTGGGTCACGTCCAGGTTGTACGGCTTCCTGCCGGTGCCGTCCCAGATCCTCCACAGCCGGTAGGTGTCCCGGAAGGTCTCGCTCCTGGACGCCAGGATCCCCCGGGGGTCCCTCACCAGCTGGATGACCTTCAAGTTGAGCCGCGGGTCCTCCACCAACGCCCGGAGGTCGCTGACCTCGGGCACCCGCACGGTTTTGATGGCCACGTGCCCGTGCTCCCTGCAGGACTCGGCGGCCAGCGTCAGGTTCAGGGTGCCGCACTTCTTCACGCAGTCTCCCTCCTCCAGGTGGAGGTCCACGCCCCCCAAGGGCTCGCAGACTGGATGACCTTCAAGTTGAGCCGCGGGTCCTCCACCAACGCCCGGAGGTCGCTGACCTCGGGCACCCGCACGGTTTTGATGGCCACGTGCCCGTGCTCCCTGCAGGACTCGGCGGCCAGCGTCAGGTTCAGGGTGCCGCACTTCTTCACGCAGTCTCCCTCCTCCAGGTGGAGGTCCACGCCCCCCAAGGGCTCGCAGACGGGGGGGGAGCACAGGGCCTTGCTGGCGCCCCGGCGGAAGAGGCGGTCGGTGGTGTGGTTGACGGGCTGGGGTTTGATGTAGTTCTCCAAGAAGTAGAGGTCGCAGTCGTACAGGCTCCTCCAGCATGACCCGCCTGTCCGTCGGGCTCTTGCTCTGGGTCAGCTTTGGGATCAGGGTGTACTGCACATGGTAGAGGGGCTCAAATAAATAGAAGACGTCGAAGTGCTGGTTAAACAGCTGCCCGCCGAAAGAGGCGCCGCTGCGGGTGGGGGCGAGGCTGAGGACGTGAGTC